GAAAGTTCAGCATGAAAAACATGAGGTACTTCCCTGGCACCTTTCCTGGTGCTTTCCTAATCCAGGACCGCAGAGGAGATGATGATCGGGGAGAAGAAAACACAGAATGTGGAGTCTTTTGAGGTCTAATTCAGTGTTACCATCTATCTATCTATCTATCTATCTATCTATCTATCTATCTATCTATCTATCTTCTCAAATTACTAGGATTTTATGATGGAAATGTGGGCTTATTAGAGATAAGCTGAGTTTTGCTAGATCTATAGCAGGAAGCCAGTGATGTTCATTTGTATTACTCCAAAGCATTTGTTTCTAAAAATTCATGTAGTTTTGTCATGACAATACTTCAGATTGGGAAAAAAAAGGTGAAAACCAAGCATAATACTTGATCTTGAAGTAAAGAAAATATTGTATGTTTTGTGTAGGACAACTGGCAACAGTCCTGAAAACAGAAATATGTATCCATGAATTGGTCCAGATGACATGCATCTTTGAGAATAAGGTAATTCATTACAGAATGTAATGGCTCAGTGACAGTTATTTATGGAAGTTAATGGAGATATGGGAGACAGAGAGAAAGCAAATAGGACATATCTTCAGAAAAAGAAGAAAGAAGAAAAAAGGAGAAAGGAATCAGAATCACAGTCAATTACAATTCAGTAAACCCACTTTTAAACCATTGCAAAATAATGAAACTATCATTAAAGCTCCACATTTACCTGGGGGATAATGGAATAATGAGCAACGAACGATGCAAACACCATGGTATCAGGGTGGCATGTGTGACAAATCCTCCTGAAGTAAATTGATTGGGAGCTCAAAATACTGGGTGAAAAGATTCAAATAATACAACTTGAAACTGAGATTTTTTTTATTTTTTGGAAGAAAGTGTTCTGGAAACCACTCTAAGGTTGCAATTTGGTTCTGTTTCAGGTTTCCCAGTGTAAAACGCTACACTGAATTTCAAGGCCTAAAGGCTGTCTGCCTCCAAGTAAAAAAAATATCTGAATGCCGGGGTGATGGATATGGAAAAGAATAGGAGTAGATTATAGAGTCTTACAAAATGATAGAGCAGCACAACAAATCAATGTGCTTTGGGGTTGCTGGCGAAGGTAAGTTATATCCTCCAACTGCACAGAATAACTGCTCTTTATGTAATCACACCTGGGATATGTCATTAAATTGCAATACCTCATTACCCGTCCTCACACAACACGGAAGAGTTTCAGGGAATTCAGATCCGAAAAAGAAAAATGATCAGACTCTTGGAAAGAGTGATACACAAGGAGAGATTAAGTAGCTTAAATATATAGCTTATCTAATCGATAATTAAGCAAGGGGAGGATAATAGCTTAAAAAAATGTAAGAACAGGGTAATTATTTTGCATGATGCATGGTCCCAGTTCAGCACAGTGCTAAAACACATGTGCAGATCCATCAGCCCTGCAAAACACCAATGTACGTGATTTCAGTGGAGCTTGAGCACATGCCTAAATTTAAGCATGCATTGAAGTACTTTGATTAATTTGGGCCATAACCACAAGTAATAGTATGAAATTAAGAAATGCAAAAATGTAGGCTGAACAGCAGGAAAATCTTCCAAATGCTGAGATATATGAGACTGGGGAGTAATCACTCAAGGGAATTGGTGGAAACCTTATCCCTGGACACATTTCAAGTTTTGCTGGACAAAGTACTGGGAAAATATCCTTTGGGGAATAATCTTGCTGTTGCCTCTGGAGACAACTGCACAACCTACTGCAACTACTCTGTGTCTTAAGTTTTTCTGGGCTGACTCACAGCATTAAGCCCAAGACATGATTTTAAAAAAACACCAACAGCGCAACAGGCTGGTGGCATTCTGAAGCTCTTCCTTGCCTCCCCCCACAATTTATTGGGCTTTTTCCATCTTCATTATACACAATGCTATGAGAGGCGAAAAAAACCCCACACCACCAGACTTCTAGCTTAGTGGTTTTTTATCTTTTCTTTACTCACTGACTAAACTTTGATTTCATTCCCACCTCTGCATTAAAACAGAGCTTAAAGATATAGAGGAAATCTAATTTCAACTTGTAGGGCTTAGTTTCATTCCCGGAGCATATGTGGTGAATGGTGAATATCATCAGAGAGGCAATTGTATCTTGAAGAATCTCATATCTCGTATCTCTGAGCATCCCAGCAGAAGGAGTATTAAAGATCTGGTGATTTTGCTCATTTGGTTTGGGGATTTTGGAGGGGCGGGACTGTTTGTTTGGTTGGCTTAGTGGAAGATTTTTTGTTTGTTGTTTTGCTTGTTTGTTGTGTTTTTTGTTTTTTCCCTCCATGCAGATCGTGGAAGAAAGGCTTACAAAAAGGACTTTCCCAAAGATGAAGCAGTAGATTCTCCAAGGGCTTTTTCCACTGGGGATAATAATTTTGGTGAACCAAATGTAAAGTTCAAAGCACAACGGCTTTTTAATTGCTTTGAAATCTACTTTTTCTTATATCAAATGGTTGTAGAAGACTGTGCATCATTCATTTGGACATGTGGGGCTATTCTGCAGCCCTGTAGGATAGGAGCTCTCTAACATGACTTTGCAGAGATCTACTGGAAATGGAAATGTTTGAGACAGATCTGTTAAAAATTGTAGATTTCCCTTCCCTGACCACAATCGATATCCTTCCTTTATTTTTGCAGTGTCAGTGAATGGGCCCTGATTTTATTATTGGGAAAACAGCACTTATGTTTATTGGTACTAATTTTCCACGGTACATCAATGCATCCAGAATAGCAGTTCTTAACCTTAAATACACATTTCTGTGCCTGTCTAACTAGCAATTCAGCTAGGAACATGTGTGAGCATCTTCCTGACTCATAGTGTGAGTTAACAAACAAGGTTACTTAATTCCCTTATCCCATTTAAAAGGATGGCCTTGCAGGGTCTCCATCATCAAGGATACTTAGGAGCTTGTTAAGGAAAAAGCTGAGCAGGATAATAAACTCAGTGGATCTTCCATTGAGTTGGATCTGGAGGCCTCATTAGAGCCATTCCAGCTCTCTTGGCTACAGTCAAAGCTGGGAGTGCAACAGCAGCTCCCCGAGTAGGTCTGGTCACTGGGATAAAGTCTGGCATATTGAATGTACCAGCACTCGGGCAATTAGAAAACTACGATTTTCTGAAATCTACTTTTTTGTTTGTTTTGTTGTTAAAAGAGCTTCATTTGTTTGGGTCCTTCCCTCAAAAACCAAAAGCAAACAAACAATTTGGGTTGTGAGGAAAGTTTTTAGCACGTTCCAGCCAAGCACCATTATTTCCAGAGGTCCCATGTAAGCATTTAAGATTACAAACGTTGGTGCAAAGGCAGTCTTCTTGTCTTCTTTCCTGGAGGTTCCTGACTCCCAGGAGAGGAGGGGATTCATGTTTCCCACCTGCTGGGGGTGCCAGGGCAAGGACGGAGTGATGCCAGTCTGCCCTGAGCCCTAGCCGTGTGCTGGGCAGCAGGGAGAACATCCTTGGCCAGGACGTGGGGCCCGATGGGCTGCTTGGCTGGGGACAACAGGCTGAGAGACCAATCGTGAGCTGGGGAATCTCGTGGGGAATGGTCTTTGCTGGAAATCCAGGCTGCACTTGGCTTTCTGGGAGGGCAGCAGTGGGCAGAGCACCCAATCGGGGGTGAGGGAACCACACAGGTGATGGATCGGTGCCGCAAAGGCAGGCTGCAATTGGCCGCTTGGATGGGGACAAAATTCCAAGCGGCCAATCGGGACGGGGGAGATCCAGTGTGGAGTGGGTCCGTGCCCTGTATGGAGGCTGCGATTGGCTCCGTGGCAGGGGAGCCAGGGGCAGAGCGTCCAACCGGGCGGCGCGGGATGCCTTCGGGAGGGGGCAGCGGGACAGGTGGTGGCGGGCGGGGGCCGGGGTGGCAGAGGGTGCGGGGTGGCTGCGGTGCGGTGCGGTGCCGGCCGGCTGGCTGCTAGGTGGAGCCCGCGTCCGCGCAACCCAGATCCGGGCCCTCGGCGCTCCCCCGCCCCTCGGCTCGCCGCCCGCCCGGCTCCGTGCGGCCGCCGCCGGGCAGGGCAGCAGCGCCGCGCCGCCCGCCTCCGCCTCCTCCCCGGGCCCCGTTCCCCGCTCCCGACCCGGCCCTGCGGGAGACGCGGGTGCCGCGGGGCGCGCTGCCCGTGCGCGGAGCGTGTGCGCTGTGCCGAGCCGTGCCGTGCCGAGCCGGCCATGCGGCCCCCCCGCGCCCGCTGAGCACCGCGCGGGGCGCGCCCGCCCGCCCAGCCGCCCCCTCCGCGCCCGCGGAGCCGCCCCCTCCGCCCGCCCGCCCGCGCCGAGCCGCGCCGGGGCTGCCGGTCTCCGCAGCGGGAGGAGGAAGAAGAGGAGGAAGGATCCAGGGTGTCTGCGGAGCGCGGGGGGCTGAGGACCACCCGCCTCCCTCTGCGCGGGCGCCTTTGTGTCCCCCAGCCCCGGCGGAGCGAGGGGCCGCGGGCAGGGGAGCGGATGCGAAGAGCGGCTGGTGCTGGAGGGGAGAGAGAGAGAAAGGGGGATGGTGGAAGATTTCTCTCCTTTTTATTTTTTTTATTTTTGGTGGTCTCTTCGACAGCGGCTGTTCTTCCCCAGCAGCAGCAGCAGCAGCGGCGGCAGCAGCGGCAGCAGCAGCAGCAGCACAGGCAATGACTCTGCCGCATCCGAATCGCCTGGCCGGTGGTGCCGGCTCCGGAGACATCACCTTGCTCTGAAGTTGCCCACCTGGAGGAGGTAAATCGGAGCGGGGCTTTCGACCAGAGGGGTCGGCGACGGCGGGGAAGAGAAGGGAGCGATCGCCTCCCCCATCCCCACACACCCTCGTCCTCCGGGAGGAAAGCTTGTGTAGCAGAAGAACACGGCAGAAAAGGAAAGACTTTTACTTCTTTCTATTTTTTCCTTTTTTTTTCCTTTAGATAAAAGGTCTCTTTGGTTTTTGGACAGTGACTATGAGGGTTATTAGTTTTTTTGGGTTTTTTTTTTTTTTTTTTTTTTTTTTTTTTTTAAATTTTTCCTTGCTTGAGCGACGTTCCGGTCTTCTCGTCCGCCGCCCCCCTTTTCCTCTTGGCTGGGGGCTTTGGTACTGTGGCCAGGTCTGCTTCCTACTCCCACCCCTGGTTTTAATGGCTGGATTGTGGCAGCAGCTCCCTGCTGCAGGTTGTTGAGGATCTGATGGGGACTCGCATCTCAGGAGCCGGCGGTGACTAAAGGTAACTAATGGATGGATGCTCGGCAGCCCTTGCCTGGCCCTCCGTTGCTCCCTTGCCCGTTTGCATCGGGCTGAAGGGTGCCGGCCGCCCTGGGCGCACGCTTGGATTGAATTACGCTATAATCAGGATAGTTTGTCTTCAGGGGGGCTGGATGCTCCAGGTAGCGGGGGAGCATCTCTCTGTGTCTGCATGCTGGGAAACAGTGGAGACAAGGGGTGTGCATCTTGTTTGGAAATGCCTCGTAGGCTCCAGCCTGGTTTGGCTGTGGATAGTCAGGCAAAGGCAGCGAGGAGATGAAGGGGACCTGGTAGATCTTGTTCTTGCTCTCTCTTGTTTTTTTTTTTCTAAGAAAGGCACCACGTTGGACCGGGGGGTTTGCTGGTGTTACACTGAGGAATTCGTGAGTTTTATTATGTTTCCTCAATCTCCCCCCCCTTCCCCCGTCTTCATGCCCACTCCTTCGTGGATCTGCGGTGCTGTTCAGAAGCTGAAGGGTGCCTCGAGAAGCGATTGCTGTCTTGGATATCAGGGGGCATGAGTGGGGGATGATGCCGAATTGGGGGTGTGTGTTGGGGGCTGCCTGGATTGAGCGGGTGGTAGGGTAGAGGTCTGAATCCAGCAGCCCTGGGTTACAGGTAGACGCGAGGAGCTTCGCCTTGCCGTGCAGCCAGAGAGCGAAGCGTACGGTGGAGGTAGGGATGTGCAGAGCTCCCCATATCCTGCCTGTGAGGCTGCCTTTGCTCGGTCTTATCAGTATAGGGCTGGCGTTTGTTTTGACCAGGAGACGATATGTATAGCTGAACGACGGAAATTGCATTTTTAATGCCTCTTTGCTTTTAACCCTCTGTTTATTTGCTCCCTTAATTATTTATTTGCGTTCCCCTTGCAATCATCTTTGGACCGCGTAACTTGGAAGTACGGCTGTGAGGCTGATGGTTCCTCCCTGCCATCAGCCAGGGAGCAGCCCTGTTTCCCAGTTTGAGGAGCCTTCCTCCAGCTGGTGCCCGTTAGTGCTAATGAAGATGTAGCTACACTACCCCAGAGATGTGCCCTGGGTATTTGGGGGATTGCCTTCGAGGACTGAGTTTGATCAGCAGCCTTGCACCCGGCGTTGTCCGGGGAAGTAACGCTGACCTCCAGCCCATTTAGTTAGGTTTTTCCCTCACCCTTTCCCCTATAGACAGGCAGATTTGTAGTTTTGCTTTGAGGGGTGGCCAGGAAGGAAAGGAGCCTCTCTTTCTCTCCTTGTCGTGATTGGCGTGAGATTCTTCTCTGCAGTAGTTAAAACAACTCGTATTTTGGCCAACAGCAGTGTATTGTTTCTGCTTGTCAACTGTAGAGTTCATTATCGTTTTAGCCAAAACAACCCATTTCTGTTGTATTTACTTTCCTGTTTAGATGACTCCTTAGGAGTTATTGCCATTTCCACTCTCACAGTTCTGGTTCCAGGCAGCCAGCTGCTTAGAGGGAGGCTGAGATGCAAAGGAAAGGGCGAAAATGCCATCTGTTTCTTGATATAAGGCAGAGAGGTAGTCTGCCGGCTGTAATTTCTCTCTGTATTATAGCACTGATTATTCCAGAGTGTAAGATCAAAATTTTCAAAGCTGACCAAAAAGAAATCTTCCCTGGAGTTGAAAAGAAATAAATTCCATTTTCACTGTGGAATGCTGCCTCTTAAAGAGCGCAGCCAATGCTGCGTGCTTGGTATTGAGTAGTAGCATGTGCTTTGTAGAGCTCATTTATCATCATTTCCAGGGGTTTGCAATACGAACAGGCTTCTACTGTGCATTCATTAGGAAAAATTCTTCCATGGAGTTTTTCATGGGAGTAAACCAGGTGTTACAGGTTAAAATGGGCTGCTGTCAAAGAGTTTGCAGTCATCACTTTAGATCCATGCCAATGTTGGGTGACAAAGTTCAGGTTAGGGCTCCATGGTAATGCTGTTTTTTTTTTTTTTTCCTAAAGATTAAACTGCTCTGAGAGAACAAGAGTCTATCCCCCTTGTTGTGGTCGAGGCTGCTCCTGTTCCTGCACTTTGAGAGTACTTTTTCCTTATTTAGGCTTGATATACTATAAAGTGACTGTTGTCTTGTTACCTCCTAGCAAAAAATTAAGAGGATACAAATCTCTGGTGTGTTTATTGCGAAAAGAAGTGAAGTTTTTATAAAGCTAGTCTTGACCTGCGAGTTCCATATAATTTCTCTTATTGAATAAATATATATTTTCCCTTTTCTTCTTGGGGTGGTTAGGAGAAGGTATGTTTAGTTTCGCATTGAATTCCGGAACAAGATAAATGACAGTGTAGATTGATGATGGTGAAAACATTGAGTGCTGCTTTGTGGGGCAGTGAGATTTTAATGGTATTTATTGAGTTGAGGCTACCGAGTCCTCACGGAGATTTTTTTTTTTTTCCTGACAAAAGCGGGAGCTGGTATTTCACTTTGTTGGTGCCCTCCGGAGATGAAGTAGTTTATGTCTCAACCTAGGATATTTGAATTTGTCCCTGAGCCCTGCCGGGTCCATCCCTCCACCCCCTCCTTTGTTTGCTTGGCTGTGCATCCCACAGATTGGGATGCCATGGGGACCACGTCCTTCCTCCCAGTTGGGGGTGATGTGGCAGAGGTGCTCAGCTTGCCTATCCAAGCATTAGTTGCAAAAAAGGCTTTTTTCCTCCTGAAATAGAAAGCAAATTGCCCTGTGCCTGCTGGTGCAAACATGAAGCCGGTGCTCTTTGCTGGCTGGGAGGGAAGTGCAAGCAGGTTTGTAGGTGAAGATGCAGGCATGCACATCCAGCCACCTGACTGATGAGCTGGGTGTCTCAGCCCAGCGTTGCAGGGCTGTTAGAAAAAATAAATAAATATTATAGAGGCAGGTAGAGCGAATTATCAGCCAGGACTGAACAGGAATATGCATAACCTTTAGCTTTGGGCAGCACTCAGCTGGAGGGCCTGATGCTGCCGTCAGGGTTTTCACATTCAGAGCATGAGTGGATGCATCATCAACACATTTATTCATGCACACGGGGGAGGGAATTCTTTGTAAATGGAGAAGTCCTAGGAATGGGTGATTTATTAATAATTTTAATACTAATAGTGTTGAGACTGGTGTAGATTGACTAGGAAGCAACTTCATGCGTGACACAGTATAAAGGATGGGTTAAAGATTGATGGAAGAGATGAAATTGAGGGAGCAAGAATGGATCAGGGAAAAGCTAAAGCATGGAGGATAAGCACAAAGGTTTCTATGCTTTAAATAAGTTCCTTTTCTTCTCTGTTGTAATTATGTTACTTGGTGGTTGTAGAAACAGCCAAATGCTGTGATTTGAGTGATTTTGATAAAAAAATTTATTCTCTAGAGATATCACAAGAGGTTTGTAACAACAGCTCAAAAATTAATTTTTTTTGAAGCAGTGATCATCTGAGAGATAGACATCAGAATATTGATGGGGTTGCTGAGGACAATACTGAAACATCAGGACAGCCTTGCAAAATAAAGAAGGTTTTGTCTGCCCCTTATGATGAGCTGCTTATTGGGGTAGTATGTACTGGTGAGCATTGACATTATGGAGAGATGTTTATAGACATCTATTTCTTCCCTGCTGGTCCTTTTCTCATTCGATAGATGCCTTCCTGCTGGGATGGGAATATGAAAAATGCACCATGATGCCAAATTCTGAGTGTACATCCACACTTCAGTCTCTATGTCTTTAGGCAGTGCTTTCAGCTGCAGGATGGAGAGCTAGAAATTGTCATTTGCAGGAGTTCAGTATGCTCGGGTGTATTTGTAGGAATGTCCCAGTAAGGCAGTGTGACATGCTAGCCTCTGACTGCCTCGTCTCCCGGGGTCATACCTGCCTTGAATTATGCCAATTTGTCACGATCCTCACCAGCGCTTAATGTCAGCCTCTTTAATCCCTGCTTGGGATGCATGTGAATATGCCCTGTTTCTGTAGGTGTTGAGATGCTCCAGCACTCCCTGATCTCATCCTAGTGCCTACTGGCAGTGGAAGCTCCTAGAGCAGGCTGATGAAGTAGAAGGAGAACTTTGCTTTTAAGCATCTACTTTTAATTCTTGCCTACTTTAATGGCAAGGAAACCACCTCCTACTCAGATCTGTGATGTGATTCTATCTAGGACGTTATCTCATTGCCTGTTTTTGGCCTCCAGGTTTGCAGTGTAATGCTTGCTTTACGTTCCTCACTAGATAATCTCTACAGTGCAGTCTGAAATTCTTGGCTGCAAGCTAAGTGTTCATTTTTAAGACAACTTCTCTAAGGACACCTTGACGCTACAGCTTTTACTTCTGCAGTCTTTCCAGAGAGCCTTCTGATTTTGCCTGTAAGGCAGGTGTTTTTACCAGTCGTTGCACCAAGCATCTGTAACTATGGCAAAGTAGCTAGTCTTTTTAGGCAATGAAAGCATCATTTTAATTGTATTCTGATCCACAGTTTTACCTACTAAATGGTGCTCAGTGTGGGTTTTTTTTCAGCCTGCCTGAAACCTCTGTTTTCCTCTGGCTGAGTAATTTTTTTCCTCCCTTTTTGAACTTTTCATCTCTACTTCTTCAGGCCCGCTTCCATCTGAGGGAGGTACTGCTGCTTCTGTGATGGGAGCTCCCACTGTAGTCAGTGGAGCACTTCTGTTGGCTTCCCTGGGAGGGAAGATGCTCAAGAATCTTACATGTAGTATCTTCTGAAAAGAAGCTCCAGGATCTCAGATGTAGTATCTTTTCAAAAACGTTCCCCTGCTTCAGCATCAAGTTTCTAGTGATTGTTTTGTAGCATCTTTGCCAGAGGTGGCATTTCAGGCCGAACAAAGCAGTGAACACAGAGGAGGAGTAGAAATCTGTGTATACTTCTAAAATGTGTTCGTGAAAACAGTCCAAAATTAAAATCAAGACACTTTTGTTTGAGGCTTGTCAGCTTTCAGTTTCAAGGGTCACGAAATAGACACCATTCTGAAGAAAGGAAAGACGAGTTTGGCAGCTGTCCCAGTTAGGCA